CGTGTAGCTCTAGTACAGTACATCCATACACGGACTCCAGGATGAGCACTGGGGGGGCCGGGCGGCATCACATTTTTGGCTCTTTTGTCAGTTGAACTTAGCATAGCATCTCGACGCAGAAAAAGCAACCAAGGCGCAAACGACAGGGATAGGCTGGCTGGCGCTGACGGGCACTTCGAATTGCCGGCGCTCAATATGTTTGCTTTTTCCGGCCCATCGTTTCAATTTTATTTTTGGCTACAAATGATTCAGCTTTTAAGAGCTTATAAAGTCGGCCGATCCAACTCTCTCTTGAGCACTGACATGATGAGATCAAGATCCGAATCTGATCATATTTTCTGGCTCCCCGAAAAGACGGTATAAACGAGAGCATGTCTATCCTGAAATAGCAGGATTGGATTCACAAATCCTGCGTTCTATCTTAACAAGGTAGCCCTCCGTCTGCTGGGGCGTTGCGCACTGGGTGGCACAACTGGTGGAGACAGTACGGATCAGAGAAATAGAGGACACTCGAGTAAGACAGACGAACCATTGGAGATGCGAAGGCTAGATGGACTTGAGGCAGCGACCGTACGGAGTACAGATTACAGAGTACTCTGTCAGGTACACTCCTTGATTGCACAGAAGAAGCTGCAGCCAACCGATTGGCAGGCAATGGTTTCAGGCTTGATCGATCGTAATCTTGCTCAGGAATCAAAACCTTTTAGTCCATTCTTCTTGGCCTCATAGATTAGGATAACGGCGTTTTGATTGCTGGGGCGGAAAATTAAACATCATCGCCACGGCCATTGAGCTCCTTAAACCTGCAGGCTAGGCTATTTTTGCAGCGACGCAGCATGGTAATAATCCGCACGGATGGCTGGCAGCAACAAGCATGGCAAATCCCCCCCGCCCACCTAGCCACTAGCGAAGAGGAAATGCCGCTCCACGCTGGGGGGTTGTCATGGTCGCTGTTGTTGTTGGAGTTGGAGTTGGAGTTGGTGGAATAATAAGGATGTCGATGGTGAAGAGTGTGGTCCAGGCAAATCAGCTTGGCCAGGAACGATGTTAGGGCTGGGGGCTAGGGCTAGGGTCCAGCCGCTAGGGCTTCCCCGTCACGCGATTGGACGCTGCCTCGCTCTCGTTCTGCCCCTTCTGCACGCTTCATCACCACCCCCGTTCGCCCTTCCACCTTCGCCCAATCGCGGTCTGCCTACCCGTGACAAGAGTCAAGCCGTCGTGCTGTGTGTGAGCCTGTGATTGTTTGGCGGGACTCGAATGCCTGTGTTTTTCGCGGGTGGGGACCCCGTCACCCCCTCCCCAGACATGATCTATCATACTGGGCGCGTAGAGGTTGCAAGACGCATTCTCCCACGTTACTACTTCCTTTGCTGGCCGATTTGAACCCGACGAAACAGTTTTTGCCGCCGCCCCTGAAGTTTACTTTGCTCTCTGAATTCTGCTTCTGACTGAATAACTACATCTCTGCTTTGCTGGCAGAGACAGGTGGCTTGGAGTGTGACGGTGACCCCAACAATCGTTCCTGAGCGTCATATTGAGTCGCCAGTGCTTATGGTGCTAATGGGCAGAGAGACCGGTTGGTCGCAGCCTGCGAGGAGAAATGGCGCTCCTCCAAGAGGGGCCAAGCAAGGTTTATTTGCCAAGTTCATGCGGCCTTCCGGTCGCCATATTCTCAAAACGAAAGCGTACGCGCACGCATGGATCTGCTCCGTAGTACGGGCACCGATCTATGATCCATTTCGCCATACTATACTCCGTAGTCTGTACGTATGTATGTACGGAGTATCTTGCTCTTCACAGTGCTAGGTGGTGGCCCATGAGGACCCGGTGTACGGAGTACTGCGGATACCATCTGATAGGCATCCAGGATCAATCTTGCCCAATAAAATCAGTCACCCCCAAAGACAGAAGAACATACTAAAGATCGCCCCGTCCCGCCTGGTTGACAGGAGTTAGTTGACCGAAAAACTCCTTTTACTTAGTTTATTTTGATTATTCTTATTTTCTCTTTTTTTATGGAAAAAATAAAAAAAGATAAAATAAAAAAATAAGCACGCCTAAAAATAGGGATTGTGCAGAATAACCACGATCTCCTCGCTCATTTCTATGATACAAATGTGTCAACACTTTTGCACTCATTCCTTTGCTACTAGGAAGAGTTGTTTTTAACCCCGCCTCGATCGACCCGTCTATTTTGGTGATCACGCTTCAACAAGGCCAGGCTAGCCGCAAGCTAAGCGGCATCCTAACCAAAATTAAGTTATCACGACGCACAAAAGCACGGAGCTGGAAACCTCACAAGCATCATACATTCTGTTCCCATTTCAATCTACTCAGTGTATGAAAGATGAAGCTGCTTCCTCAACACAACACATTGTGGTTCACTGCCGCAGCTTTCTTTTGGGTCGAGATGATGAGAGTGATTACGAACGGCACTGAATAACGAAATGCCTTCACATGTAAACTCGACATCAACGGTTGGGGCCTGTTCACAAAATCCATAATCTGCGAATTTTTCTTGAAGCTCTCATTTCCATGATCGTCAGTTGCGAGATGGTCACCAGAGGGTTCCGCTTCAAGCGTGTTCCTTCAACGAGCTACACTCACAAGACGTCAGAATGCATATAGCTCAACACCTGGAAACCAATCGCGGGCTTGTTTTTTACTCGAACTTCAGCATATTTGCGCCACCAGGTTGTTCCAGGCGTCAGTCTTCTGCTCGCCTGGGAGGTTTACATACCCCTCCTCTCTTTGACGCGATTCTCAATGGGAACGCTGGTTACTACGGCTGTGTAATTTGAAACAAAGTGTCTTGTTGAGCTCTCTTCTCCCTCAACGGCTCAAATTCCCCTAAAATAATCCACGCTGGGGAGGAAAATCGTATCGCCCCCTATGTAACATGTTTTACTGCAACTGACAAAGGATACTGCTATATGGCTTTTGAGGTCTAGGGGAACCCACATACTTCTGAGGTTAAGAGCTGCCATTGCGGAGAAATTGTAGGTTCTCCGGTGTCCGGACTCAATTAGGAAAACTGCATGCTTGGAAAGGTTGCACCATTTTCGGCTTACCGTTGTTTCCATCGCCCAAATCTGCACCGCGCGCCGGAATTGACGATGTTATCTGCAGCAAGGAAATAAATTACCTGTTCATGCAAACATGTTTTTTACTCTTAACGGTGAATTATTGGCTTGCTTTTCGTGGGGTTCGGCCATTTCCCAATGGGTGATATAATTACCCTTTCTGACCGCTAACAAACCCCATTTTATCCAAAGTTGGAAATTCCGCACTTGGGTGAAAATAAAATAAACATCAAGATACATCGTAAAGCTCCATTGCTCGTTCTTTTTTCATCCGAAGGCGAATCGCTACTGGCTGGCCTGGCGAAGCAAACGAGAGCGCTCTGAACCCCTTTCGCGTCGCTGCGTTGAACATCGCTGATCTCCATAGAAAAAATATATGAAAATGCCCATCCCCCTACACACACGGTTCGGCTTTATTTTGCATCCCGCGCTTCCTTCTTAAGCAATTGCTCGCAGCGATCTTCGTCCACTGAAATCCAGCGTCTTATTCCACCACTTTGGTAAGAAAGGTAGGAAATGCCAGCCGCACGGTTGTCCAAAACCAAGCAGTTTGGACGCTCCATCCACAGCACGTCGAATTAGCTGAAGGGGCTGTTGGAAGATCCCGTGGCAGAAAATGGAATTGCTCCTCCGTTGTGCCATTACACAACTGCGACGAAGGGTTTGATGTCCCTGCACAACACGAGGGAAAGCTACTCTATCATCTATGTATACAGGACTTTTAAAGAATTTGCTCCTCCTATCCTCGACGCTTCTGGTGGCTGTAACTAATTCAAAAAAGCCCAAAAAAATCCGTACCTGATTATGGTACTTTTCTCCTAGAAGCTTTCTAAATCAGGGGAAGTATTTTTTTTTCTTTTGTCTTATGGTTTTCAAAGTCGATGGTTTGGCGCGGAGAGTACTCTACGGTATTGACTACTGTGATAAAGCACTATGGGAGCTCAGCTTGTAGTGATCATTACACTAACGTTCAGCTTCACTACGCCAGGAGATGGTTAACTATGTGCGTCAGATCATCTAGAACGGAAGAAACGGGGGTTATGAACGCTAACTATCTGCATGCATGTTTATTCGAATGCCACGGAGTTACACCCCCAACATGAGGCCTACAGATATGAACAGCCAGCTGCCCATACCGAAGCCCTTCCAGGCGCAATATGATATTCTCCCTCGCACACCCACTTCCACCTAGTCGTTCCAGAAACGCTGTGCTGCGCTGGCGGTGTCTATGACTCCGGCCCTTTGTACATGCCCAGCGTCATGCAAGCGCGTCCACATGCCCAGGAGAGAGGGAAAATAGGAAAAAGGAACAGGCAAACAACATCTCCCCAGTTTACATTGCGCTTGGGGCGTGCGACGAGTGCAATCTATAATATTTGTTCACTCGTAAGAAGAGCTCTTCTTGAGATCTTTGGTTACTAAACGTCGCAGCATCGTTACGCATTGACCCATTGATTCGGCTTCACGTTTCTTGCTTGTAGCCCCATAGATGTTAACGAAACGTACCGTTATCTGGATGCCACAACAGCGTACTGGCCTATACTGCCATGCGCTGATACGTATGTGGTATGCCTTTGTTCTTGGGAGTTTATAATTCAATGGTGATGAGCAATTCCAGCTGGGCATTGCGCGGCACATCTTTCCTGGCTGAGCGATCTAGGCCGCCACGTTGGGTTGATTGAGAACTGGGGATGGGATTCGAACTTGAGTACTGTCTTTCTTGTCGCCGTATTCCCGTCTCTCTTCGTTTGCAAGGAAGATTCCTAAAACAGCGCCTCGGCTGGTTCGGCCCGCAATCCTTAAATCCCCTTACCCCTGACCCTGACCTATCCGAGTGAAACGGCATTCCCGCCCAGTTCCTGCAACGATACACCGCAGGAGTATAACATCAGCGGATTGGTAGCATTGTCGACCAAGCAGGCAATGGCCATTATCTGAACAACCAATCTCTTACAAAAATTTCTTTTGTCAATCATTTCAGTGCAACATTAGAATGATAGAAAGAAACGGACATAGGCCAGATTCTGTTTCTGCTAGGTGCACGATCGTTATTAAAGGGGGAGAAAATGCAACCACAGGAAGCTGGAAAAGAAAACAAGAATATTGTTTCTTCTTCGTTTCATCCTGTTCTTCACTCCATTTCAAGAAACTCATCAGCATACCATACAATGGCAACCAAATTCGACACCGCCTTGCTTGCACGGCACCTGTATCCCCCCAACCCCTCTCCCCCAATTCTCTCAAGGAACTATATCCACAATGGATAAAGGTATCCGTCGGTGCAACTCGAGACGCATACATGGAAACAGGGTGTCACAACTCGAGTACCCAATGCGGGTAAATCCCCTTTTGAATAGTCGATTGAGAATGTCTAACCCAGCTTAAATGTACTTGATAGATAGAATTATTACAGTTTGCCGTTCGTCCCCTCAAGACGAGAGACTGTGCTGTATAGATTGATTCAAGTTAACTGCCTGTCCGTATTGGAAAAGTTTTAAACAAAGGCAATCATGTCTCATTAGAGCTTTTTCCCTGATTGGTGACATGTCTTCGGGCCACGATGGATTGACTGACTTCAACAAGTCAGAGAAGAGTTAAGGGATCTGGAGATCTGTGGAGTGTCATTTTCATTTGATATAGCATCGCACTCTAAAATCATAATTTAGTCCCTCTCTTTCTCCTTAGAAACTCTCCCATCATCCTCCCTGGCTCCGTCTCTGACCCTTCCTCTCCGCCAACACCCTTCCCATCTGCTTCGAAGGCACGCCCAAAATGATCAATGCCAGCCTCGATAGCCTCATTCACTCCCATCCGCTCCCACTTCCCAATTAACTCCTTCTGATTCCTCACCGCTGCAATCCCACTCTTCTCCAGGCTGTCAACCCATACCGCCACCGCCTCATCCAACTCCTCCGGCTCCACCACCTTTTCCACCAACCCCCATTCCAGCGCCTCCCGTGCACCTATCGTCTCCCCAAGCAATAACATCCTCCTCGTCCGCCCCCATCCAATCAATCCGGGCAGCAACGCAGCTTCCACAACACTCGGCACGCCCATACGAGTTTCGGGCATGCCCAACAGCGCATTGCTACTCGCCACGCGAATGTCACAGGACGCAGCAATCTCCAAGCCGGCGCCCAGCGCAAGCCCATTAATGCGCCCGATGACGGGCACAGGGCAGTCGCGGATGCTCTTGCATGCCGCGTGGACTTTCTGAATAAATACCCTAGCAGCGGCCGGGCTTGGGGAGATGGCGGCCATCTCGGCGATATCGGCACCGCCTATGAAGGATTTAGGGCCTGCGCCGGTGAGGACTACGGCGAGCAGATTGGGGTGGGTGGAGGTGAGTGTTTGGATCATAGACGGGAGTGATGTCAGGAGGTGGCTGTTCAGGGCGTTGAGTTTGGCCGGCCGTGATATTGTGATAGTTGCAACGGGGTTTTTGGATGGGAGTATGGTTATAGATGTTGTGATAGTTCCTTCGGGATTTCCAGCACTCCTGTCGCTCTTACTGTTGCGGTTCGGCATAGTTGCAAAAGCCCGTGCCAGGCGATGCGATGTGTATCTGTGGGGTAGGTATGTTATTTTAATTTACTCTCGAAAATTTTCGTTTAAACGAGCAAATCAAAGATATCAAGAAATATAAATCAGGAGTTGACATTAAAATACCTTGAGTTCCCCAAAGTTGTGCTGTTCAATGATGCTGGGCTCTGCCGGCTGTAGGAGAAAGTTGCAAGGTGTTTTGCCGACGAATAGCCGCGCTGTTGGGCTGCCACTCGGCTTCCCTGATATGGGCTCCGTGAAAGAGAAAACCTAGGTTGAAAATGAACACTAGCATTGGAAGCCCGAAGCAGAGAGGAGGACTTACGATGAAAAGTTTTTAACAAATTTCATAGCTTGGGTAGATGTTGGGTTAAACCACTTGGCTGCAACAACAGCTCTGAAGAAATGGGAGCGACTGATGATGCTTTATGATTAGGATAATAGCCGGAACTGACTCCACTGCGGAGAGAGAGGCCGAGTTAGAATAATGTAGCCATTCTCAGGCCCCAGAAAAAAGGCCATTCAAAAGTAGGACTCCTCTATCTGCTAAAAACTAGAATCACTTTGCCCTAGGAATCGAGATGGGCACTTGGTCTGCACAAAAAAAAAAAAAAAAAAATTATAACATCAGAGGGTCTCTTCTAGCAAAACCGAATCAACCAAACAAAATGCATTCTACGGTGGCGAGTCATCTCATTTCCCAGGCAGCGTTGATGAAGTTTTATTGTCTGATGATATAAAAGTGCGGTTCCCTGCTGTCGCCTTGCAGATTTGTAAGGCAAGATTCGAAAATATAGAAAAATAAATAGGGCCTCACAGGGGGAACCCCACGCTGAAAACTGGGGATATTATATTCTAGAAACGAACCGTAGCAAACTCACAATCTTCAGTGAGGCAGCCAATCCAGACGTGTATAGATAACAAGCATGACAATTCTGTCACGAGTGATAAATTGAGGGGATTCTCAATTTATGTTCCGTTATGGCACAGCTAGCCTCAGCACAATCTGGCAAAATCGACCTCTGTCGTGGATGTTTAACTTTATTCCTTTTCAATCCACATGGAGATTTTCCAGTCATTAGGACGAAGGCCCTTGCAAACCGGTGAGCATCCGACATGAGAGAAAGAAAAATACGCGCAAGAACTGGGGGACTAGTCTTACTTACCTTGGGAGCGAGATGATTCCCTGGGAAGCGCATTTAAGGCTCAAGCGTGAAAAAGGCTGTGTATAAGAGAGGGCATGTAGAGATGCTCTCACCAGGGATCTGTGATGTAAACCGCAATGGCTACCTGGGAACCATGCTGCCAGAGGGTTTGTCTGCAATTCGCCCGTACCTAGATGCTAGAGTAGATATGTCGCAGTTGCGTGTAGAGTCACCCAGAATGCGTATTCATTCATATATTGTTAAAGTATATCGCCGACAGTAAATCGTCATGTGCTTTATCCCTCGACTTTGTATAGATATACTGTTCAAACCTGGAACAAATCCAAAAGGATTCCAACAAGATAGAGACTGAAAAGTGGTGTTCACGATGGCCCAGTCCGGCTCCTGTCAATTCCCAGAGTCATCCGAGACTTCGAATTTCAGGCACCGATAAGCCATGCAAGCAGCTCTTCCAGACCGACACGGATGATATGTTAACTGCGAGGGAGGGAATAATCGATGCTGACAGAGTCATTTCTAGCACTTCGCTGCTGTTGAGGGCTTACTTTCACGCCATCATGTAAGGACCGTATAAAGTATCGGTATATATAAAATCAGCATTCTTTCCTACGGCCACGGCCAAAGCACCCGAATCAGGCATTCGGATCGCAGCCGGTGGTAACATTTCACGGCCGGTACGGAAATCATATTGATTATAGGGCATCTCAACATTCAACGCCGTACTACTAGCCTTGAGCTTAGGAAGCTTTATGAGGATCCATCCCGGGATGTGGTGTCTCGATTTTGAATCATCATCCATCAAGTACCCTGGTAATGATGGGGGGACCAAAGAAGTAACTTAGAGGTCAGCAGCAGGCGGTTCAACCTTCACGAAATAGCCCTTTCGCAACCGGCGACCAAGACACCGATATCTATACAACATGCTAACCTCGCTACCTCCTCTTATAATGGACATGTAGCTGAGGATAGCTTGAAGAAGCTAGATGTGTCAATAATCGTGAGAAATCAAAAACACAAATTTTTGGATTGATGAAAAGGAGAGAGACCGAAAAGCTCTCGACAGCTTCAGAAATATGATTTCATAAAAGCCTCCAGCAGTTCAAACAAAAGCAGCCGCCAAAGTTGACAGAAGAGCGACGATCCTCCTATGTTGAACCAGGTCAATAATTAGGAGAAGCCCGCAACGGCGGGCAATAATTCGTCGCAAAAATCAACTCAATATTCGCAATGAATGAATCGACTTTTTATTTAAAAAGAGTCTAGATCTTAGACAGATAAACTTTCACGCCAACTAACCGTCAAAGAAAACCCGCTTCATCCCCCATATTTTGCCCTACGCCTCTTGGGCACTTCGCATTCAATGAAAGCCAAATATCTACCTGATCAAAGAAAACGGCCTGTCGGTGTCCTTTGTCACTTTTCACCCGCCGCAGCCATCCGCCTCTCCCCGCCCACTTAGACTTTACCGCGCATCCACGGCCCATGGGTCGACGGGCGCCAACGACAAAGCAAACTCTAGGGGACTGATGATCTCTGGCTCAGGTACCCGACAGAGTGGAACGGGTTGTGTGATCCGGCGATTTAAGAGGCTCGTGCTTTGGCTGGCTATAGTACTCTTTACTACGGAGTACTCCGCAAGGCAAAACCCCAACCACCCCCCCCCGGACCATGCAATGATGCGGGGGGGGGGGGACCCTGCTCTGGTCTCTCTTTCCAGGATAGGGGGGAGTCACCGTTCTGCTTGGTAGCCGCTTCCCTGCGCCGTGCCCACATACCTGTATGCAGAAGCTCAGATCAGACGTATTAATATTGACGTACGAACGTACGTACGTATATATGGATCGCCGCAGTTAAGGGGGGAAGGGGGGCCATTAGTAGGATAGATAGGATGGGATGGGCACCGCCATATCGCATTCATATCACAGAACGCCAGGGTTTTTGCAGGAGGGATGTGGCAGGGCTCTCTCGGATTTACAAGATGTGCCCCTTCCCCCTGTTTTCTCTCTGTGTTGCCCTGCGTTCGTCGATGCGGTTTCGGCGACCGGGCTTTTTATATGTGGCTGCATAGGGATCTAGGGCAGCGGAAGTTTGACGCCGTCCGCCTTTATTTTTGACTTTCGGGGACCAGCCGCCCGCATATGACGCGGCAAGGAAACAGAGTTATTGCACATAACACTATCAATGGGCAGTGGTTTATCTATCCAGGACAAAGACGAACGGGAAGGAGAAAATGAAAGGAAAGATGTTATTTCACTGTGAAATAACTTATGAAATTATATAAAAGCGATAAAAGAGAGAGAGGTATTTTGCAAAATATCTTCTTTGTTGCAGGCAAGCAAGCAGTCGCGCGAATTGTTTCCATACATGTATGTTACCCCAGGTTTCAATTACTGGACCCTGTGTTATGTTTCAACTCAAGGGAGCAACAGATAGCTAGCTTCATGGTAAAATTAATCGAATGGACAAGTCAGCTGTCTGGGGATAATAATGCTGTATTGTTTCATGGTAGGGAGGAGTTGGCGTTGGAAGAAACTTCTTTCTCTCGGCGACTGAAGCGTCGCATCTTTGAATTTGATTATCCAGCCACGATTCCAACTGTGTGTGCGTGTGTCAGTGTGTGTGTGTGTGTGTATGTAACTCCAATAATAATAAAGAAACGGAATTGGCAAACGCTGCTTGGAAACATCAATGTTACCTTCTAGCACGTTGGCATTCTGAAACGCTCTCACGTCCATTCCTTGACATCTACAACCCCAACCCCACGCCCAGCACTGTATGTCATCCATCCTCACGCATGAGCTGAAAAAATGATTTACATCTAAATTTTCAAAGGCTACTTTTCCTCTCGCGTTCAATTGTATCTGGCCTGTGACAAGCTCCACACGACTTGAAATCATTCAGGGGAAGTCAAAAATACATATTCTTTTCATATTGCCAGTGGAAAACATTCCCGAGTCCTCCACTCTACTCTGTAAGAGAAAAGCAGTTCAAAGAAGAGCGGCATAACTACAGAGTATGTGGAATCGATTATCCCAGTTCCGGAGTTACGAGATCTCGCACAACCGCTTCAAACCCACCGATACAACCCCATCCATATCGCACTGTCTTGTCTTGCGGTCAGGAAATAGAAAAGATCCATCCCTGTTGGAAAGTATACTCTCGAAAAATTTTCATAAATTTTTAGAAGTCAGCATCTGATCCTTTATATTCTTCATGCTTTCACAAAAAAAAAAAAAAAAAAAAAAAAGGTACTGTACAAACCTTTGTGAGCAGCATGTTGCAGATAGAATTTTGATCCTTTCAGGAAGAAGATTTCCATCAGAATGAAACCACCCCACGGAAGGAAAGGCGGTGACCTCACCGACTATGTTTTGTATTAAAAAAAATTAAAAAATTAAAAAAAATAAAAAATAAACACTGGCAGGGTTTATGCAGGCTAGATATGCACGTTCGCGGGAGGGCGAGAGCGGGGACGGCGGGGGGAAGAGCGGGACAGCATCGATCTCGATCTCTTTTTTTTTTTTCTCGCCTTGATCTTGCTTGAGTTTTCCTTGGTAGGATGGACCGTCAGATATCGCGACGTAAACACATATACATGTAAGTTACCTTACATGGACTGCACATTTTTGTTTGTTTAATAGCGGGGCGGTATGAGATAAGTGATGACAGATCTCGGGCGTCAAGCGAGGAAGAGAGAAACGACAAATATGACTATCACGCCGTAGCTAAAAAAAAAAAAAAAAAAATCACGGAGGCGGTCGGCGGCATATGATTTTCGAATTCTGTTTTGACTCTGTGGTTCAGTCAGCTGCGAGGGTTGTTTGTCGGCATGTGTGCGGCCGTCGCGTCGTTTGATCTAAGTTATACGGAGTACTGTGATTGATGTTTGTGCGTTGTGCCCATCCATCACACCCCTTCCACACCCAGGCTTCCTTAGGGGCTTCGGGGCCAAACAGACATGTTTCCTAGTGATGAAATACCGTGATAGTCACAGGCGCAGTTGAGACCGGAACCTGTGATTGAAAAATAAATAATAGAAAATAACCTGTCCTCGGAAAGGGAAAAAGGGGTGAATGAGGAGGCAGTTGAATGGAGTGTTGAGATTCCAACCATTGATAGACAATATCGGGCAATTCTAACAGCAATTGGACCGGACCAAGAGGCACAAATAGAATGACCAAGTCCCCCAGCCTTACTCCGTACTTTCGCGATATATCCATCGGCAACTGCGGAGTAAATGTCTGTCTGCCTTGGAACAAGAATGCCTGGCGACGTGAACTTGAAATGCCGTTTCTAGTTGAATCTTTGAAGCTTATAGCGCAACGCTATCGCGGGAATAACGTGTGATTATTGGCACGGTTCAGACGGAGACCGCCCCGGATACACTATAGTATTTTACTTAGTGGTTTGGGCAAGGGTAACTAATGGATAACTAAACTATCCAATTAAAAAATGAGTATTCCTCTTTGTTCTCGCTCGCGTCGAATCACATACGTTGTAACTATCCTAGGGGGGGGAGAGGGGGGAGTTGGATGGAACAAGCAATGCTGGAATGGAATAATAAAGGGACAGTTGATATCAAAACAAAAAACACAAACTGAGAGAACAACTCCTCATCCCGAAGCTGGTGATCAGTCGTTTCTTCCAAGTCACAAAAAAAAAAAGAGCACGAGAAGACCTCTCATTTTCCCTGTTTTTATCACAGGCTTCGCGTGCCCATTCCACTCATTCCACTCCCATCCCAGCCAGCCTTTCACGCGCTGATATGATAGATGATAGGGCATGGGCGCGATCACCAACTCCTCAGTGTAGTGTAGTGTGATGAGTTAGTGGTGGTGAGTGTGTGCCTTGGCTGGCAACTCCGGAGTTGTCGATTGGCCAAGTCAACCCCGGAGTTGATAACTAGTTACCAGCCTAAAACGCCGCCCGACTGCCGCGGTGCGTTTCCTTGACACACAAAAGTCCAGACCTGTGAACGGATTCTGGAGTCTGGATTCCGAGTGGTTTTGTCGCTGGCTGTCGTCAGCTGGCGTGGCGATCATTCTGTTTGGACCTTGAAACGTGGAGGTTTTGCTGGAGCCCACGACCGAAACCACCCGCTGAAACCTCCCTTCTCTCTGGTGGAGTCATCGGACTGTTTTTCGCCTGCCGTTGAAGGAAGACAGATACTCTATTTCTATTTCTCAATGGTAGCCAAACTACGGAGTACTCCGTACTCAAGACTCACTAATAATCGTGCCAAGCCCCCCAAAAGCCGCATCCCACCCTGCTCATCCGTGATACCACTCCTCCTTACATTATTTATGAAAAGGGCGAGTTATGGACAACCACCCCCTTCATCTTCGCCCCCACCCACAAGTCCAGTCCTCCTGTACTCGTGGCCTCGACAAATAACCCTAATAGTTAAACCGATACCCAACCCCCACGCACGCTACCAAACTAAACTGCGAACCACCTTCAAGGATCCCAGAACTCCCGACTCAACCCAAGAGCCGGACAAGGGGGGGGAAGGGGGCCACTTTTCCTAGCATGTTACGTTAACTCGCTCCCAGCAGCCAGGGACAAGTTACATCCCCGGCACAACGACGACTCCACCCTAGTAGGAGGAGATGGGATTTCTCCACTCCCAACCTCCCACCACCACCACCCAGGCCACACCCTGCGTAGGCTGGCGAATAATGGCGAATGGCTTCGCACCACTGGCGTCGGCGGAAATGCAGCACCCTGGCTTCCGGCGGGACGGCGCGTTCCAGGCGGGTGGTTAGTGGGATTGGGGATCTCGGGCTAGTCTAGTGTGGCCGCCGGGCGCATTTGTAGTTAACTTACTATTCTTCTTCTTCTGATTAAGGATTGTATTCTTATCGCCGAGAAAGGGGGAACGGGGAATCCGCGCAAGTGGGGAACTGTTGGAAGAAACGGGACGTTGGGGAAATGGGGAAAAGGGGAAACGGGGATGTTTGCTTTTTTTTTTTTTTTTTTTTTCTTGGGCTGAGGTCGGTCGGGGGAAGGTCATTCTTTTCTTGAAGACAATTTGCGATGGAGATCTAACTGGTTATTGGACAATAGGGTGGTTCGGGCCTGAAACCCAGCTTGAATTTTGGGTTTAAAATAATACAGATTGGACAGATAGTTTTTCAGAGGTGAGACCTCTCACATCTGATATCCGATATATAACTACTCCGTACTCAGTACATATCTGATAGATACAGAAAATAGACTTGACCTTGGACGGACGCTCAACCTCCAAGGTTCCCAGGGGCCCAGACCAGACCGCATTTGGTCTAATAAACCGGGTTTTACAGAGGGAAGGCACGCCTGCCTCGCCGGTGCCAATCATTATTATTCCGATTCCGATTCCTTACTGCTGACTGTTCCTGAAGTAGTAATCTCTTATTTTAAGTACTAGTGGTAGTTAGTGCAAGCTGATCGATCTCTCTTTTTACTCTCTAGCTCTAGACTCTAGAGCCCGAGGGGTTTAGTTAGCTGAATCCCGAGCACGAGTCGTCCGCCTCCCAATAATAATAATAATAATAATAATAATAATAATAATAATAATGGCAATAACTCACTGCAGATCGGCGGCGTTTTGTCTGCGGATGTTACGCTGGGTAGGCTGCGTAGAGGTTCGAACTTCCCAACGCTTCCATAGTTATTTATATAAGTAAGAACCGATAGCTTGTGCAATGGTATAGACAGTACATACGGCCACTCATCAGGTTTCCATTTAAGTTCTTCTATTTCTAACCTTCTGCGTAAGCTGTGTTAACTTCACGCCACCGCGCCATGAGGCTTGCCCTGGGGGGTTTCGACCTGTCGATACGGACTACGGACGTAGGAAGACTTCTTGGCTGCGAGTATTTTGGCCAGAATAGTCCAGTGCATAGATCTCTATTTCTTTTCTTTTCTTTTCTTTCTTTCTTTTTCTTTTTTTTTTTTGTTTTCTTCTTCCCGCGCCGCTGGGATGGTTTGAAGCGGAGGAAAGGGATCCGGTTGGCTAGTCATGGTTGAAGCTTAGTCGCGACCATCACCAATTTGGTCAGTAGACAAAATGTTCTGTTTCTAGGGGGAAAAAAAGGTTTTATTTTTTAAGAAGACGATATGATATCAGAGGAGGAGCGAGGCTTCCTACTCTACTCCAAGCCCGGGAACCTGGATAGTAGCGGGTTTTAGGACGGGGGGATGTGCATGAAGGCTATTTATTATTAATTTGGTGTTGCTTGGATACGTTACCCATACGCAGCGTACATAGTTATCGATCTTTGGGTCCTATCTATCGATAAGACTAACTAACTATCGATATCTGTCCGGCCGCGATAGCATGCAGCAGCAGTCTGCGGAGATAGCATCGGGAGGGTAGTTATTAGTTATTATTTATTGTTTATTGTTTGACAACCCACGAGGAATACCATTCATTGCCCGGGCGAGGGATATACGCTGCGTATTATTTTTGTGTGCTGTGGTTGGGAAAGGGGAGGGGAGTTGCTTTATGTCTGTCTCCTTTCTCTTATTACTGTTCGGACTACGGAGTACAATAATAATAATAATAATAATAATCATCATGCTCACCCCCCGTAGCGTTAGTTAACAATCCCTGCTGGTTTGGTTGAACCCTCGTCCGCCAATTTCCTTCCAGAACTCGGCTAGAAAGAAACAATAATAAGCCCAGAATCCCCGCCGGCGAGATGTTGGCACTCAAGGACACAACGGTCCCATCCATCCCCCCAGGATGACAGGGTTAACGTTACAGCTGCCAGGGGGGGACTAGAATTATCATCATAATACAATAATACTGTGTAATAATAATGTCAGACTGGGCTCTGGGCTCTTTGGCTCTGGGCTCCTGGGCTCCTGGGCAACGACGCGCGTGGAGCTATCCCGATTTCAACTCGTTCACCTCAACCTCATACCTTCAGTATACGTAGTAGTACATTATTCCAATTGCTGACAGCACGCCCTCCCCACGACCCCCCCCTTCCCGCCTCTCTCTCTCCCTAAAAACTCGCGTGGCGTTTTTTTCCCTCCACCCATCCATCCCGCGCTGTCGGGGAACTGGAATTACACGCTATAAGCTGCTGACCAGCCAGCCTATGCTATGGTAATAATAATAATAACAATGTACCTACCGGCTTACTGCGTATACGCGACGGCCCAGAAGGCTGGGTCAAATTTTTTTTTTTTTTTTTTTTTTTCCATCTCCACCGAAATCCGCGGCGGTGGTGGGCTTTCTTTTCTCTGCTTTGCTTTGCTTGCTCGCTCGGTTTGAAGTTTCTTGTCCCGTGGGGTTTGTTTGATCCAAGAACAGAACGCTTGATCGGCGAATAGAAACTACATAGCTATTTATTATTATTATTATTATTATTATTATTATTATTATTATTATTGTGGCCGGACGGCGGAACGCGGACTCCAACCGCGGCCCACGGTTGCAGATCGGCCGCGGGATTAATAAGAGCGCGAAATCTGAGAGCGAGAGCGAGAGCGGGAGCGGGAGCGAACTCGACTCGGAAGTCTTCGAAAAATGATAATGAGGAGAGTTTTATTTATGCTAGGTGAGGGAGAAGATGGGAAACTAACGAAAGTGAAAGAGACACGGTCGATCTTGGGAGGTTTGTACCTTTGGATATTTTTTTTTTGAATTTGAATTTGAATTTGAATTTTTTAAATATTCCATTGCGCCCGTAAGGTAAGCCCCTGTGGTAGGGTAGGGTAGTTACCTTGAGGATATGGTCGTCTCGATCGCCGGTGGGGTGGGGGGGTTGGTAGTTACTACTTATTATTACTACTACTACTACTACAACAACTACTTACTACTACAACTGCTACTGAAGAGATGGATGGGGCCGGGTGGGGCCGGGTGGGGATTGTCAGCTCTGTCGGGTCCGTCCGGCCTCGACTAGGGAGGGTTAAGCATCCATGGAACCATGAGTTAGATGAGAGTGATAAGAGTGGAGTGAGTGATTACCCGTCGTGTTGGTTGGTTTGAGGTGATGTTCCCGAGGTCAAGGGGCGTATCATTTTTTTGAGAATCTACTGCGTAGGGAGGGAGAGAAAGGAAAGGGAGAGAAATGGGGAGGGGGACTCGGTCAACACAGCAATTAATGAAACAGAAACCTCACACAGCAGGCCAAACAAACGTGCGCAAAAGACATCTCCATCTCCATCTCCATCTCCATCTCCATCTCTCTTCACCTGAAACCAGCTCCGGGTTGGTTGGTTGGGTTGACGAAGCAGCAGCGGCAAAACAGAAGCAATCCCCCACGCCGTCTGAGGTTTAAGTTCCCCCCCACGGGGACATATAAAGTATAAGGAAGATCGGTTGCTTTTTCATCTGATTGCCTGATAACTAGTTACGGGTAGGGTAGAAGTTATAAAACTCTGTTGTTTGAACATCCCAACTCCGCGCCTGTCCTGTCTGTCCTGTCCCTTTAGTTTACCCCTTTACATAGTGTGGGATACAAACAAAAACAAGGGAGTAGTAAATCAAACCCCTCCTGGAATGAAAATGGCCTCGACCTTTGTTTGGCCACAATATCATTGCCATCCCCATTCCCCCATACCAGCTGAAATCCTCCATCTCTTCATCTCTCCATCCATACAGAGTACATACAATATCTAGAAAGACTGATTTATGACTTTCTGCCACCAGCGCGGCCCAATCACAATCATAGGGCGACAGCCAGCCAATCAGCCAGAGACATGAGACAATAACTATGCCAAGGTTATTATTATTTATTATTTATTATTTATTATTCAGTCAATTGCCGCATCGACCATTTTTGTTTGGTTGGTGCTCTTTTTTAGTTGTATTTTCTTTTTCTTTTTCCTTTTCCTTTCCCCCCCCAGGTTTCGTTTCCGCCACATGCACGGTTAATAAAAAAGAGTTGTCTGTACATTATTAGTTAGTTACAGCGTACATACAGCGTACGTTCCAAGCAACCAGGCGAGACAACAATGCGTTGGAAGAATAAAGCAACTCATCCTATCCTATCCCCTCCCCTCCCTGCCGCCTTCCTCTGATGCTGCTGGGGGAGGGAGGGAGGGAGTGATATTGGAATTGTTTCTTTGTTGTGTTTTGCAGCGAAAGAAAGAGAGAGAAAGAAAGAACATAAAAGTTAACTCCACAATATAGTTAACTATCAATATAACTATCAAGCCCTAACTAAACAAGAACACCGACCCAAGACCCCGAAATCTACAAAACTGGAAAAAAGACACACAAAAACCCAAACCCAGACCCCAGATGAGGTGTACATCCAACACATCTTTTGTTGTATAAGGTAAAGCACCGAATCGCGGCTCTCCCTTTGTCACCGCAACATCCAACATCGCGACACCGCCCCGCTTGCAACCTTCTTCAACAAACGTGGCCCACTATAGATAAATAGATAGATAGATATATATATATATATATTATTTTTTTGCATCTGCACCCCACATACTCCCGTACACGGAGGAAGATAGTAGGGTGTGGTGCCTGACTCACCTCAAACCTGAAAAATACAACAACACAACAGCAGGATAATCAAATCAGGTTATGGAGTTGTTGTCAACCCTGTTCTCAAAGCAGCCCATCTTCTGCCATCTGACCTGGCCAGCTTGCTTGGAAAACGCAGCCCTCAACTGTACTTCACTTCACTACAGGCGCTTCGATTTGGATTTGGATTTGGATTTGTGAGCAGCGCCCGTGACGACGCCGCCCGAGCTGGTCAAACGAACAAAGACACGAGCGTCTTCATTTTTGTACGGGGCGGGGGGACTAAACGGGTGGAATAATAGGAATCTAATCTAGCAATCAACAACAAGAAATAATCATAATTCAAATAAAATCTGATTCGTAGGGTACGGTACGGTAGGTATGTAAGTTGTTATTTTGCAAAAGCACCAAAGTGCAAAAAGTAAAAAAGTGGGACTTCCGGCTCCCCGCGAGAGAAGAGAAGAAGAAGAGAGAGATTAGACAGATAGAGAAGATCAAACGCTAACCCAAGCATCGCCGCCTTCCCCCGGCGGACCGTTCCATGGGAGCGTGTAGCGGGTAGCGGGTAGCGGGTACCGGGGGGAGGGGGGAGGAGAGGGGGGGGAACGATTACTCTTACTTTTACTATAATTATCAGTATTTTATTATTTGTAACTGTGGTAACTAAGTTACTGTAATAATAATAATAATGGACCAACCAACCTTACAAGGTTTCGTTGTCCAGCCCTCCCCAACAGCCCAGCCAACAGCCCAGCCAACAGCCCAGCCAACAAAAAGCAAAAATTAAAAAAAGCAAAAGGCAAAAAATAAAAAAGGGAAAAAAAAGGGAAAAGCAAGAAAAAGCCAGGAAAAAGCAAAAAAGAAAAAAAAAAAAAAAAGACCAACCAGGACAGAAAGAGCTGTCATCTTTTTATACTTGTTGGCCCAGTTCTCCTTCTTCTTTGATCCCGCCGCAACGGTTTTTTTTGTTTGCTCTTTGACCCCGAGATCTGGTTGTATTATTTTATTCGAACTATATATATCAATACCGCCGTCCCGCCCGTTTGGGTTAATTATTATTGTCTTCATTCGCACCCGGAATAATCCTGAATCATCCTGAATCATCCTGAATAAAACCTCCTTTCCGCGCTCCGCTTTATATAAACCTTGGTCCCCGGACTCTGATTATCTATCTCCTCCTTCCTTCCTTCCTTCCTTCCTTCCTTCCTTCCCTCCCTCCCTCTTTCACTCATATCAAACAACATACAACATACATACTACCATATCTTCCTACTACTACTACTACTACTACTACTACTACTACTACTACTCCTACTCCTCCTCCATACAGTATTCATGGCAGAAGCTATCTTGTCAATACCTGACTGCTACTACAACAACCTCTACAATCGGCATCAGTCTCTCAATAAGAATAATAAACCTCGAAGCACATCCTCCTCCTCCTCCTCCTCCTCCTCCACTACCAGCAGAATGTGGTCCGGATTCAGCTTCAGCAACAGCACCTTCTCCTCGCCATCAGGCTCCCCGTCGTCCTCTCTTCCTCCGCCGCCTCCTCCCTCGCCCAACGACTCTCTGCTGGACATTGCTCCCCGCAAGAGTTCGTTCTCCATGACCTCGGGCAGAAATACCTCCTGTGCCTTTCCCTCCTGGCCCAACCGCTCCTCACTCTTCTCCGACTCAGACTCCTCCGCCAGCTCCTATCTCTCAGACGAGGATCTCTTCCCAACCTCGCCCTCGCCTAGCTCCGAATCCGCCTTTGAAGAAGATGCCGTTTCCTACCACCCAGTCTTTGCCGCCGGAGACCTGACCACAGAAGAGCAAATCTCCCTGATCAACGGGCGAGTAGATGAAGAGGAGCGACGCCAGAGATACCTTGCCAACGCCCACGCTCAGCTCCGCGCGCAACAAGCACAACGAGCAGCCCAGATACTTGCTGCTGAGCAATCAAGCGGCAAGAGGAGAAAGCGACGCGTTGTTGCGGACAAGAAGCGCAGGACAACATCATCATCATCATCGCCATCACCGTCTTCGGCTTCGGCTTCCTCCAAACCGTCTTCTAGCTGAGTTTTATTCTAAAAGTATGTGACGTGTGCTCATGCTCACATTGCATCACATGCATAACTCATCAAAATCCTCATTCCACACACCTCCCAAGTTTAGAACCTCCTAAACTCAACAAAACTCAACCTCCTCTACGAAGATAACAACCTCGACGGAGCATATGCCAACACGTGCATTGCCTCGCTTGTTTTACTTTACCCGGTGTGCCCAACATCCATCCTACATGGGTTAAATTCCGATGATGTGGAGACTCTAAGGAAACCCGAAGACGCGAAAACGCGAAAACGACTTTTTATTTTTGTTGATTTTTCGTCGGAATTTTCCCTCCAGGGCCCCCCACCATGTGAAAGAGCGGTGTCGCGGATCCGGAAGGAATTAGTCGGGACAGAAAAAAGAGACGCGATGCCTTTTTTTTTTTTTTTTTTTTTGCGCGTTATTCTTGCAATGTCAAAGCATCACCCGATCTTAATGCTGAGCCAAACTCCCCGCGATCCCTCGGCTTTTTGACCGCGCATTCCGCTTTGACAGAATCTTCCCTGTTTCTTCTTTACCACCCTTTGGATTATTCAAACAACACCCTTTTTTTTTTCAGCAACACCCATTCGGAACGCGAAAAAAAATTATTTAACTTTTTTAATTATTTTTTTCAATTTTATCGTTCTTGGTTATCCGAACGCCCCTTGTCCATGTCGGATTGGCAGGTGTGACTTGCATGTGGCAGATGTGACGTGACGTGACTGGAACGAAACCCAAAAATGTTTCAACCAGCAGGCAGAAAGGTTATTCTGATTGAA